TAGATTTTGATTTGGGGCTATTTCTACCCCTTTTATGAGTATAGAGAAGCAAAAATCGGATTTTGTGGGTATGCTTAGAGTTGCACTTCGGCTCTGGGGATATTGGGGGTCTTTATGGCATAAAGGTGCCAACTTTGTTGCCATAAACACCCCATACATCTTGTAGACCTCCTTTTTATGGATTTTAAGCCAAAAGACCCATGCATGTACATCAAGTTTGAAGCTTTACATATAAAATGGACCCTAGGAGGCCAGATCTATGGTTTTGACATGTTAAGACCCATTATAATCGACTATATAATTTTGGACAAAGAGGGACTCGACAAGTCACTTGGGTGACTCGACGAGTCGTGACGTTTTTTCCTCCAAATCGTCTTCTGGAAATGATTTTGGTTGAGTGGAAGGAACACTCAGCCTGCTAGGGGTTTGTCTTGGACCTGGAAATCATAGGACTCGACGACTGTATGAACAGACTTAGTGAGTCCAAGGCAATCTCCCAACCCATGAAGACGGAGTCGACGAGTTGTCATAGAACTCAGTGAGTCATAGACTGGACACATTTATATGATGAAGATGAACTCGACAAGTCGGTTGAAGATGGCCCTGATGCTATGGTTAAAGGTGAACTCATCGAGCTCTTGCTAGACTTAATGAGTAGAGTCGGGGGGTTGTATCATTTTAAAAGAATAGGGACTCGACGAGTTGGTGGAACAATTCAGTGAGTCAAGTCAACTGAATGTTGACTCTGACCAAGGTTTGACCTTGATTTTGACTTGGATTTGGGTTGACCCTTGTTAGGGTTATAAATATGCATTAGTAATCGGAAAAGGTCGTTGTGTAGGGATTGAGGAGTAGAGACGAGTCGATTCCCATGCCGAGGACTGTGCGGATACTACATGACATCGAGGTGAGTTATCTTCCAGTAGTGGTGGGTCCACGACCACAATGTCGGACCACCCATAGGGGTTGTATGTTTGATGATTGTCTTTGTGATATTCATCAAGGTTTGCTACTACCTGATATGTTTATGTGCTAGCATGATATGTTATATGTGATAGTTGTAGTAGTAGGTGAAATAATCCTCATATGTCGATCGTAAGGATCGACGGGTAAGTCAAGCACCCCAGAATGGCTTGACCTGGGTAGGTCAGGCTCCCTAGAATTGCCTGGTAGTATATGTGTGTTATATTATTACGTGGTAGTTGTAGGGGTGAAATAGTCCCCGATAGTCGGGCAACATAGACCGACGGGTAAGTCAAGCACCCCAGAATGGCTTGACCTGGGTGAGTCAAGCACCCCGGAATGGCTTGACCTGGGTAGTCAGGCACCTCATAGTTGTTTGTCATTATGTTATTGTATGATGTGTGTGGTATGATGGGGGAACTCACTAAGCTTCATGTTTACAGTTTTCAATTTTGTTTCAGGTACCTCTTCAACGAAGGGGAAGGAGCCGGCACGATAGCGACACATCACACGCAAATCAGGATTCCACATTTTGAGATCTATGGGATTGTATGTGACATCCACATTTTCATGGCCAGAAAAGTCCGGTTTTGTTTATGCTTTATAAAAATCAGAGTACCTCTTTTAGTGAAAATTTTGCGGAATTTGTTCCCAATAAAACATGATAAATACGTTATCAAAACATTTCCGAAGAAATTTATTTTTATTCATTTTAAAACATTTGGGTTGTCATCGTCAATACAGAAACATAAGCATAAACAAAATTTACATTCATTATCACTAGTGATTTATATCTCCTTAATCTCTCATTGTAATGTGACTTCATATCAACACTGTGATATAAATAAACTGAGCGGGTCAGGTTGGGAAACCTAGTGAGTACATAGGGTTTTCAACCCACAATAATATAATGGGTTTAGGTCATTTTTGGTCACTTAACTTTTGGTTTCGTGCTCATTTGGTCAGTTAACTATTTTTAAGTTTTAAAAGGTCATCAAATTTTTGACTTTGTATTCATTTAGTCACTTAACTTTTGGTTTGGTCACTTAACTTTTAGATTTGTGCTCATTTAGTCACCTAACTTTTACAATTGTGCTCATTTAGTCACTAAAATTTAAAAAAATTAGTGACTAAATGAGCACACTTTTAAAAGTTAGGTGACTAAATGTGACCAAAACAAAAGTTAAATGACTAACTGAGCACAAAGCCAAAAGTTTGATGACCTTTTAAAACTTAAAAAGAGTTAAGTGACCAAATTAGCACAAAATCAAAAGTTAAGTGACCAAAAATGACCTAAACCCTAATATAATTATTATGTTTAAACAATCAAACAATCAATCCCAATTACCCATCCTCATTATCTTCCTTACTCTTAAGAATCTACCCTAAGAGTTATCTATCCTGCATTCATTCATTCCGAAGTCCATCGCTTCAAAGGTTCATATGATAGGCACTAAGTCCATAACTGCCAATGCTCGTTTGTAAAACACTAATTCCATAGCTACTAAAGTTCATTCATTGGGTACTAAATCCATAGCTATCTGTGTTTATCTAATAGGTACTAATTCCATAGCTACCAACGTTTATCTATCAGGTACTAAGTCAATAGCTACCACTAACATTTATTCATCAGGTACTAAGTCCATAGCTACCAACGTTTATTTAATAGGCACTAAGTCTGTATCTATCAATATTGTTTATTAGGCACTAAGTCTATTGGTGCCAATGTTTACTCACATCATCTTTTATATCTCATCAGTCATCTACCCATGTTATACCCAACATATTTATAGATATAAAATATGTATACAATTTAAAACTTGTATAAAAACATTCATCCTGCATAGACAACAAGTATTCAGACAATATGCACACACAACACATAGTTTATATAAAATACTTCATATCTATGTGTAAGATGAAAGCAACTATGCACTCACCTGAGAAGGTGGTGACTCGGTACTTAGACATCACTTCGTTATCTCAAAATAATTTTCCCTTGACAAAACCTAGTATCAATACCACTAGGATATAGTCTAACGTTAATCGTGACTAATTAATTTTCTAGTTATTATTACTATTATATAAGCGTTAAACAATACTTATATAACCCATAATAAAGCCCAGGTACTTATTATAAGTTCCTAATAAAGTTACTATAATTAATTAAAAGCTATATTAAAAATAGCGTAGGCGTAGCTCACTTACAGCGGATTTTTAAAGAAAACTGGGCTTTGCTTGGAGTAGCATTTCCAAACCGAAAGACCCTTTTTCACGGGACTCCGGGAGCCTCGGGGCTTCCTTTGAGTACAGATATGTGACTGCTTGATAGGAATAGATATACGTGTTGTCTGTGTGATACTTGTATGCATATTAGTAGCAGAGTGTGGGCGGGGCCCAAATCTCCTAGACAGCGGAGTGTGGGCGGGGCCTGGATATCCATGAGAGTGGGTGGAGCCTGTATCTCCTAATTGCATGTTATATGTATGGTATATGGTAGTTTGGGGAAACTCACTAAGCTTCATGCTTAAAGTTTTTAATTTTGGTTTCAGGTACTTCCACTAGCAAGGGGAAGAGCTCGGGATGACTGCATGACACACACCATAGTTTTTAGCCTGGGATGTTTAGACTCTGATGTTTTGTCACGTGATTTTGATACAATATTTTGATATGATGTTTTGGGGATACATGACTTGTGATTTTATTATGATGTTGATGAGTTATGATTTTTCTTAAATGATTTTTAAAAATAATTTTTTGGACTGTATTTTTGGGATGTTTCAGTGATAGTTTAGCTTAGTTAGAATATACTTATGTTCTTGGTAACTTAATGTATATTATGAATTATACAAGATCGAACTTAGCATATAGTGTAAGTAGATTGAGCCGCTACTCCTGCAGTCTTGGGAAATATCATTAGTATGCATTAGTGAGAGTGCTTAGATATTTAAAGCATACAATGAATTATGGATTGTATTACATGAGCTATCCTCCTATTCTTGAAGGTTATTGTGATGCAAATTGGATTTCTAATACTTTTGAAGCAAAATCCACAACTGGATATGTGTTCACTCTTGGTGGAGCTGCTATCTTTTTGAAATCATCTAAGCAAACTGTGAATACTCATTCTACAATGGAAGCAGAGTTTGTTGTTTTAGATAAAGCTACTGAAAAAGCTGAATGACTCAAAAGCTTCCTAGAAGGTATTCATCTGTGGCCTAAACCTGTTACTGTTATTGGTATACATTGTGATAGCATGGTTGCTTTTACTAGAGTACAAAGTTAGATATACAATGGAAAGGTGAATAAATTGTGATTCTAAAAACAATTTTTCTACAACAAAAGAGCTTAAGAATTTTGTAAAAAAACAAACGTAATGGTTTTCATTAGAGAAAATAGGTAGGGTGCTCAATTTAAAAAGAAAATTTTATTAATATGTTGTAATGACTACTCTTTCAAGAAAATATAAGATTTTATTTTGTCTAAACAACTCTAACACATTGTTTTAGCTATGTAACACATTGTTTTAGCTAAGTATCCAAAAAAAAAAGAGATAAATAACAAATGATAAATACCAAAGTATTCTAAACCGTGCAAGACCTTTCCTAGTTTGACCTAACAATTGCATTTTAATGAAGGGGTTGACTAAAAAGATACCAATTTTACCATTTAGACAACCATAATTAATTTTTGAAATACTTTTATTGGTAAAAAGCTGATTACAAGTAATTGATTATAAGTTAAAATCTTGAACAAAACCTACAACAAAACGTATCCATAAAATGATCTATATAAATTTGAAAGTTTGGAGACTTAGAATCCTTAACCAATAAAATCACCATTTTTACGGTTATCTCTAGCTAATTCCTCGGATAATAATATAATTACTTAAAATAAATATCGATTGATTTTTATAAGGAAAGGTCGCTAGATAATTGACAGCGCAAAAAAGTTAACTTTGACCTTCTTTTGAGAAGAATAAGAGCACACAGCTCCTAGACAGCCCATTCTCCCCCAAATTGAGAATTTGTAAAGCAATGGAGCAAACACCTACGCCACCGCTACCGTCTCTCTCCGCCACAACCACCGCCCCTGCCGCCACCTATCCCGAGTCTCTAGATTCTTCCCCTCGTTCACGCAACACCGATTCGTGGGGCGAAGACAACTCAGTACACCCGTCTAACAATGGCAGTATGACGGTTGCGCCGCAAGCGGGTTTGACTAAGCTCCGGCTCATGTGTAGCTACGGCGGCCACATAGTCCCTCGTCCCCATGACAAGTCTCTCTGCTACATCGGCGGGGATACACGAATCGTCGTCGTTGACCGCCATACGACTCTATCAGACCTCACTCAACGTCTCTCCAAAACCCTCCTCCGATCTTCATCTTCGTCGTCGTTAGTATCTACAACGGCCTCGTTTACACTTAAGTATCAACTCCCGTCGGAAGATCTCGATTCATTGATCTCCGTCACCACCGACGAAGACCTCGAGAACATGATCGACGAATACGAAAGGCTGAATTCATCGTCCGATGTTAGCAAATCGTCACGGCTCCGTTTATTCTTGTTTCCGACGAAACCAGAATCTGCTTCCTCGATCGGATCGCTTCTAGAAAACAGTACTAAATCGGAAGATTGGTTTCTTAACGCCCTAAACGGTACCACGTCGGGATTTTCCGATACTTCATCGGTGAATTGTTTACTAGGTTTGGAAGACGATGTTCCGGTTCCGGAGAAAAAGGATGCTGATCAGAAGGGTATAATCAGCAAAAATCCCAAAGGTAATACTTCTGCACAGGATGTTCATTCGGTACCCGATTTGGAGAGGACGTCTTCGTTTGGGTCTGCTTCGTCATCTCCATCGTTGGCTAGCTTACCGCCGATTAGAGTGCATGTGGATGATAATTTAAAGGTTGGAGTGATCGAGGAGCAGTTTTCTCAGATGAGTGTACAGCAACAACTCCACAAGCATCCAGACGATGGGGTTTACGTGGCTGCTCCTGCTTCGACGGTTGTGACGGGTGTGCCGTTGAGTTCTACGGCGGCGATGCCGGTAGATTACCCAAACCGAGTTTTATCCGAGGATGAGAGATCCGATCAGGGTTCTCAAATTGCTTATCAAAAGCAACAGCAACAGCAACAGCAACAGCAATACCAGCAGCAAAAGCAGTCTATGGGTTTCGATTTGGCCTCTTTGGATTCTGTTTCAAGGTATTTCTCAATCCCCTTTCCTATTTGTTCTAATTTGTTTCCAATGCATAGCCAGTGCATGCCAACTGTTTGTGGAAATTCCCAAGTGAAATTGATCTCGGATTTTGCTACGAATTTTAAATTTTACATATGTATGAACTGCAGTGACGGAAGACAAAAACCTCCTATGATGTATCAGGATCCATTGGTACAAATCCAATCTTCTAACAACAACAATCGATCTGATCCAAATAACCTCTCAGATCAAAACACTAGAATCCAAATGCAACAACAACAAATTCCAGAGTCTGCTTATATAATGTCAATGTCAAACAACCAAGTTGATCCACAGCATCCTCAACTCCACCAACAACAACAGCAACAACCACAATTCATCCACACTGCCGTTCCACCACCACAATACATCCACCACCACCCATCCGGTGCAGTTCCCATGGCATCTTACTACCAAATGTACCCATCTCAAAACCAGCACCAGCACCACCCTCACCACCCAGCCCTCGATCAACAAAACTTTGTGTATTACATGCCTGCCACAAGGCAACCTCCCCATGGATACAACCTCCAATTACAGCAGCAACCCGCCAGCTACGCCGAAGCACCGCCTGCAACTGCCGCCCCACAAGCACCATCTCCGGCTTATACCACCGCCAGAGCTCCTCAAACTGCCGCCAAGAGCGAATTACCCACCGGAGTTTATGGAACCACAAATTCCGGGAATTCCCAATTTGTCCAAGTTCCTTCAAGCCAACACCAGCCTCAGTATGTCGGCTATTCACAGCTCCACCACCCGCCGCCACAATCTGTAGCTTCCTCCGCCTCTGCTGGTGGAGGTAATTATGGATATGAATATGGTGACCCCGCACAGGGACAGCATATATACTATGCAGCTCAGCCTATGCCGCCTCAATCTACCGCCCAATATCAGACCATGACTGGTGGTGAATCCGGTTCTTATCTTCCTACAGAGAACAGTACAAAGCAACAACAGGGGAGAACTCAATAACCATGTCACATGTGACATGAAGGTGAGTTTCTTGGAAAGTTTTGCAGTAAAAGTGGTATTATTATTATTATTATTATTATTATTATTATTTTTCTTGGTGTTTATTGATAATATGTCGTTTATCTTGTTCTTTACGTTGGTTGGTGGTATGTGTTTGTTATAGGTACGTACAATAAGAATTAAGAACAATTGGAATAGATTTTTTTATTTTTCTTTTACTTGTGTATTCTTCTTTGGATGACATCTATCTCGTATATTATGTTATATCGCTATTAGTGGATTCTTGAAATTTATACTGTAAAAGCTTGTAACTTTGTGTTGCTTTGTGAGATCTTATTCTATATGTGTAGAGTAAGTGGAATATCACATCACTTTAGGTTTTAGTTGATGATTGGACACCACGCTTTGATACCATTAATCTCCCAACCCTAATTTCCAAGTCAACTAAAATCTTTATGAAGTTAGGTAGGAGATAGGTCATGGGTACATGTTTTGTGTATTGGATGAGGTATTATATTGTACTGTGTTTTTGTTTTTGAATTGATCTTTTGTAATCGAATGTAAGCATAAAACATTTGTTGAGTTTAGTATAACTCTGGTAAAGTCCTCGTGTAACAAATAATGCAAAGTGGAAGTGTACTATGCATTTATTTTTTTGTTGAAAGAAAAAAGAAATAATAGAGGAGGGTACTTCAGATTTGAAAGACTGAAATGATAGCATTGGGACAAAGGTCAGTTGGTGATATTATGATGAGCTAGTTTTTGGCTACTAGACATTGGTCGTATCTTAAAACTAAAAGCCAAAGTCTTAAATTGAAAGAAGGGAATAACAAGTATGAAATGGATGAATTTTGCAGATAATACCAAAAGAGTGGGTGTCCAGCAACATAGAAAGTGGGGTATCTACAGAATCTAATATCTTTGCACTATTTATGTTGAAAATAATTAACACATATCTGAGTTTTTCTCTTTTGAGATAACCTTGTTTAAATTTTTTGAAAGTGAAAGATTTGACCCAATCATATATATATATATATATATATATATATATATATATATATATATATATATATATATATATATATATATATATATATATATATATATATATATATATAAAAGAGATATTAAGGGTGTTTTTAATTATGGAAAAGGTAAAGGTACAAAGAAAATTTTGATTTTTTTAATTTAACAGTTTCTTTAAGCGTTTTTTTTTTTTTTTTCATGAGAATGAGAATTTTTCATTTTCAAAAAGTACAAACATCCTAAAATATATTGTTTTTCATAGTTTTTAATTCTAAAATTTTTCTAATATATATATATATATATCCAAGCCCATCACCCACCTTATCTATACACCATATTTTTTTTATCCGCACCCGCAAAGTATACCAACAAACTCACTTAACCACATCGCCACCCACACAACCAAACCCATCAACCCACCTCTATCCACACAACTACACAACCATTTGTACATCTTTAACACCTAACCCCAAACACACCCCACCCTATATCCATACCAATCTATACCCACACCTCAACTCCTCCATCCATAACTACCCTTAGTTTTCCAATTTCAAAAGGTTTCTAAAATATAAACATCCCGCATCCATACACCTCCACCCACTCTCACAATAAAGGTTGTAAAAGACGCTCAATATTATCTTGTTGGTAGACTGAGGTTAAGAGATTAATCGGTTAGACGGTGACTAATTCGAGGCCATAAATTGTTAATTCATTGAATTTAAATAAATTAAATATGATTAATATCATAATAAAGTTCGTAAATACCATTAATATCATAACAAAATATGTTAATATGATTAATACAACACTAGTAATTTCTCAAATAGTTTCTATTGAGATAAAAAATTTGCAAAGTGTCAAATTTTCATCGTTTTCTACTTACTTCACTCATTATGTAGACAAAGATTAATTACTAGGCGTCATCTAGATGTTCATGTAGCGTTGATTAATCGGGATCTAATCGAGATTTTTACAACAATGCTCAAATCCCACCTACCATACCCTAAACATTCCCCTAATCCACCACCCCACCCGGCCCCACCCTTGTACCTTAACTCATTTAGTCTTGGCAATTTGTCTTTCTATGTCGTGTATATATTGCATACATGAACTTAAACGATGTGAATTTGTACACACAAACACGTCACAATATGTAAAACGTGTTTTGGGTATCAAACATGAATACATACTCAATTAATCCATGTGATACGTGACACAACACGAATGTACATTTTTTAACAGTGTTCTACAAAAACACAGATTTATACACACATTGTCTAATACCATTTTTAAAACTATAAAAACACGCATTTCATTTATATGTATACGTGTATATACATGTCGTGGGTACACATGAATTTAATTTGTGTCTTATATGTATTTAAACATGTAAATTCGTGTTTGATACATGTAAGCCATAAAGAACAAATTTAGAAATTGTGTCGACACAAAACACGATTTTCTAGAACCTATACACAAAAAACTCATATATTGTCTGTTGTGTCATGTATCAAATTACCAAGCCTACCTAAATCCAACTTATTCATACACACCAATGCACCCATACCCACCCACACATTGCTAAAAGAACCGTATTGGACATTCTTTTGCTAAAAAAAAAATATCCAAAAAAGGATCTTGAAAATTTAGATTTTTATTTATTTTTTATTGTTTTTAATTATTTATATATTAGGTTTAAAGCCCGTGAATCACATGGTTGATAAAGAAAAAAATTATTTAAGTGTAGTAACTAATAAAAGATATGCAAAAGAAATTAATATTTAAAAAAGATAGAAAAAAAAAGAATCTTTAATAATACATTTGCAAATATATTTTTTATATAATAGTTGATGATCATATCTATAATTAATATTTCAAATGGTTTTAAGATAAACACAATTTTTTACTTATAATTCTTAATTTTTAAAATAGAAATTAAATATCATTTTACTTTTATTCCTACAAATCATCCTATCAAATTAAATAGTGATATGTGTAACATTTAATACACATTTAATAATATTTTAATACACTAATATGATACATGTCATCATTTAATTGAGCATGAGGATTTGTAGGAATAAAATTAGAAGGATATTTAATTTCTCTAAAATAAATTTAATTATAACAGTTTAACAACGTCAAGAATATATGATTGAAAAATAATTTTATTTTAGTTTATCATATATATATATATATATATATATATATATATATATATATATATATATATATATATATATATATATATTCAATATTTACATTAATTAGAGTGTTTATATGGTAAATTGGGGTATCTTTTTAGTTAGGGAGAATTTCATATATATCCTTACAAACTTTAAATATTACGTAAGTATCCTTATAAAATTTGATATTACATATATGTCCTCTAAAACTATATAATTCACGTTTATATCCAAATTTATATTTTAATTAGGATTAAACAAATTTAATACTTAAAAATTGATCTAAAATAGAAAATATTATATGATAATACTAAACTGTCCTTCCTAAATAAAATTTAACGTTGAACCAATTTAATTAGAATCTCATGCGTTGCTTTTCTCCTTTTAGGTTTAGGTTTTGGAATTCTAAATATGATAATAAATGAAAAGCTTTGGTTGAGATAAATAGAATAGGAAACAATAGAGAATATGATAGATCACTTGATTAGAAATGAGTTTTCCAAAAAGATTGTATGGATCGATTAATTTTGCTGTATGGATTCTTTAATTTTTTACATACATCTAAAGTCTTGTGCTTCAAATCGATAATTATGTGTTCTTCTTCAACAATTGGCTCAAATTCCAAAATGAGTTTTCCAAAAACTAGAATGGAAATGGATGCGTTAAAGGTAAAACTGCTACATAATATAGTAATATACTTCATATTTTCACAATCATTCGAACCCATATGTTCTATATGTGTCCATACAAGCTTGTCTTGTATTATTATACTTTAAATTTAGGAACCTAAAAGAAGAAGAAACGATACGGAAGATAATCCTAATTTAATTCGTTTAATCGTTAATAAATTGGTTTTCATTCTAATATTTAATTTGGAGGGATATTTTAGTAATATTATATGAGATATTGAGTTTTAGATAAGTTTTTAAATATTAAATAGGTTTAATCCTAATTAATAAATGAATTTGGATATAGACGTGAATTCTATAGTTTTAAGGGGACGTATATGTAATATTAAATTTTATAAGGATATTAACGTAATATTTAAAGTTTGCAAGGATATATATGAAATTCTCCCTTTTAGTACCCATTTTGCCATACATTCTACGCTTTTTTTTTTTTAGCAGTAAATACAAATATATACTAAATTACTAATAAGTCATTGAAAATTTAACATGATTTCATTCTAAAAAGACAAAACTTCAAAAATGGTCCATGTGGTTTTCAAAAATATCAAGTTTAGTCCCTAAGTTAAAAAAACCTCACAGATGGTTCATGTGGTTTCAAAACTTTTAACAGTTGGTCCTTCCGGCTCACTCCGTTAGCATTTCACCGTTAACTCATTTTTTTAATTTTATATTGCAGGGGTAATTTCATCATTTAAGTTGTAACATTCTCTCTTTAATATGAAATGTTCTTCCAAGAAGATAACCAGTTACATCTATATTCACCGGGTTCATTCCCATCGTAGAAGCACGAATAGAAATTGGGATTTAGGGTTTTAAGCTGCAGGAATTGCAATGGTGCTATCAATATGGTGTTTTCGAGAAAAATTTGTAACCGTGGAGGACTTAGGAAAAAAATACAATACAATACTACAACAAAACTTGTTATTTCTTGGTCGATTGTGTTCACGTAGAGAAATCATTGATTTTACTCTTTTTTGTGTTTGCAGAAGGATATGACAACTATTTCACGTTGAAGATACACTACAGTGGTGTCTTCACCAAAGCACCTGAAAGGAAATACGTTGATGGTGTTGTAGCATATGTAAATGATGTTGACACTGATTTATTTTCAGTTCATGAGCTTGACGACATGGTCAAAGAACTAGGGTACGAAACTGAGCAAACCTTTTACTACCATTTCAATAACCCTGAATACCCTTTGGACTATGGATTATGCCTTTAGGTAACGACCAATATGTACTTAAAATGGTATCATATGTCCCTAAACAAAGACTTATTAGGGTGTATACTGAAACTGGTCAGACAAGTGTAGCTAGTTATTACAAGTCTCATTCTAAAGTTGTTATCGAAGAGTTGAAGCCTGATAATGTGTCACCTGAAATGAATAAAAAGAAACCTTGTAGGAGAGAAGCAAGTCATGTAGTAGAAAGCTTGATCTAAACAAGTCTATGAACCCTGATTATGAGCAATCACAAGTATTAGATGTTGATGAAGGGCATGATTACTCAAAGAGTATTCTGCCATTTATAAGGTCACAAGCTAGCAAACAAAGTCATGTAATTCAAGAGGAAGTGGTGAATCATGAAATTGAAACTCAAGAAGAAGTGATCACAAGTGCAGTTGAAACTGAAGAACCATTGGGAACTTACCATGTACCGAAACCAAGCTGCCAAGCTGATGATGGAGCTAATACTACAACAGTTGATGACTATGAACCATTTATAGAGGATTACTCACTTTTATGCTGATTATGATGTTGAGTTTAATGTTCAAACTTCATTTGAACAATAACCAAAAGTGGATTATCTAGAGGGTATGGTGAGTGATGATAGTGGAGAGGCTTTCAAGTAGACCAATTATATAGTAAACATGTGGACATGGAATGAATTCAATTTTAACTTTAGTGTATCAATATGTGTAGGTTGGAAGGCCTAAGAAGAAGAGAAGGAGGGGTGTTGATGAGCTAAACAACCAAGCTGGTTGATTGAGCAGGAAATATCTGGCAGTCACTTGTTCTAAGTGTCATAACAAAGGGCACAATTGCAAAACATGTAAAGGGCAGGGAGGTCGTGGTGAAGTTGGAGGGGGCTGAAAAGTATTTTTAGTAGTTG